TAATTGGGATTCCCCCTTCTCTTTTTCCATTTATACTGAAGTTTTAAAAGAGCTGAATTGGTGTTCTGAATTGAAGTCCCAAAATTACATTTCACTGTGTTAGTATTCTAAAAACTTTAAATGTGATTACAGTCCTTTTTTTATAAAACTAAAGTCTATATGTTTCCTTCGCTTTTCCGCTTGTCACATTGAAAAAAAAAAATGTTTTTAGCGTTTGTGGACTTGTATAAGTATAAATATATTAATCTCTCCTTATCAATTATATTCTTAATTTTAACTTAAAACTAATTTAGTAACTCAATTATTATTATATATATTTATATATATAAGGAAATTATTTTAAACAATATTTTTAAAAACATTATTTTAACTTAATTTTATAATCACAAATAATATGTATCTAAATAATAAAATTTAAATTGATTTAAATTAAATAATTTAAAAATAATTTTTTATGACAGTGTCAAATAAATTTTTAATCAAATATTAATAATCAATATATATCAATAATCATAAATTTAAAAGATAAGATTCTTAAAAATAAACTAAAAATTAAGAAAATAATTTACTTAAATACAATAAAATATATATGTGACTTTATTTATATCTTTAAAATAATTTTTAAAAATTATAAAATGAAATATTATAAAACTATTTCTGCATGGACGTACTTATCTCAAATATACAAATCAAATAAAAAATTTAAATATTAATAGATTAAGTGAGCAATTAAATTTTTTTATAAAGTTATAAATTTAAAATATCATAATATCCCATAAAGATAAAATAATGTATAACTTAAATTTTTTTAAGATTATAAAATCAATTAAATATAACACAGTTATAAAGATTAGATAAATTATAATTTATATCTAACAAATGTATAATTTACCTATATAGTATCATGTTAAAAGAAAATAAATGTTAAAAAATATACACATTATATATATATATATATATATATATATATATATAGAGAGAGAGAGAGAGAGAGAGAGAGAGAGAGTCAAGAGAAGAGTAAAAGATATATTAATATTAAAAATAATTTATTATAATAGTGTAAATTCTAAAAAACAAATGTTAAAGTGATGAACTCATCAATTTTTAGCAAAAAAACAAAAAGTATTTTATATAAAATTAAATATGTGTAATTTCTGATAATTTTATTTGACAGTAATACAAATAATAAATTCATAAATTTTGTAAATGCAGATATATGTATTTATGAAAATTTTAAAACTTTATATAAGGTAATAAAAAATTATAAACATAAAGATATAAAAAAAATTTAAAGATTATATAAAGTAATAATTTTTTTAATAAATATTAAAATAGGTATTCACAAGAATTATAAAATTTTATATAATGTAATAACAAAAATTTAAGTGACAACTTTTATTTTCAAACTTTAGGAAAAAAATTTTAAAAAAATACAAATAAAAAATAAAATTATTTCAATAAAAAAGCATAATTTACATATTATTTAGAATTATTTTTAATCATAAAATGTAATATGATTAACTATGAAAAAAGTATTGAATATTTCACTTTTTAGATAGTGTAATATTATTTATAATATATAAATTAATAAAGAAGCAATTAATTAACAAGAAAAATAAAAGTGATAGAAAAAATAATTAAAGAATATAAAAACTATATTTAATATTTTTTCCATATTTTTATAAAGCTTAATAATTAAATGTTTAAAAATTGTTATGATAGCACTTTATTCCTTCCATTTATATCTTTTGTTGTTTTTTTATATTTTTATTTATGTTTCAAAATTTCTGTTATTTTAAAATTTAAAATTAATTTAATTTTCTTCCCTCATTTAATATTTTTTTACCAAAAAAATATCACATTGATTACTTTTCCATTTTATCTTTAATTAAATCAAATAAAAAATATAAAATAGGTGAAATATTATTGAGAGTATTCCAATCAAGACATAATAAAATTATATCTCAATCAAAACTTTATTTGTGGCCACGTATAGAAACTAATTTCACATTTTAATACATTAAAAAAATATGATAAACATAAATTTATTATATTTTATTCACATTTTTTTTATTTTATAAAATAAATATTATATATATAATCTTAAAATATGAAATATATTTATTTTTATAAAATAATAATAAAATTATAGACATAAGAATATAAAATTTTAAAAGTTATTCTTCTTCTATTGTATTATTTTTTAAATATACGCTATTTAGAAATAATTATAAAAATATTATATTTTAAAAAATTACAAAAATATGAAATTTAAAAAAATTTATTGAAAATTTTTAGTTTAGGTATAGAAATTCAAAGATAAAAAAATAATAATAAGGTTATAAAGTATAAAAGAATATTAAAAATTCAAAACTCAAACACGATTATTTTTAAAATAATAATAAAATATTTTTAATGTATCAAAAGTTTTCGTTAACAATCATTAAAAATTTTGAAATTTTTTTATATTATTTTAATTTTACCAAAAAAATCCATATTTTGTAATTTCAAAAATAAAAAAATAGCCATAAAAAGCCTCTTTTGTTTGTAGATATAGTTCTTTAGTCAAATTTCTTTCTCTAAACATAATAATTATTTTATAATTATAAGATAAATTTTTTAATTTTATCTATAAAATATTTATTATTTTAAAATTTATTTTTGATATTTTTCTATTTATTTATTCCATAAAATTTTTTAAAACAAATTAAATAAAAATTATAATAATTTAGTAAAAATAAAATAATTGAATATATTTTAAATTTTGTATATCAGAATTTTAAATAACTATGATTTAGAAACAGAAAAATTACTGTATTAAATTATTCTTGTTAAAAAAATGATGAAATTAGGAAATTTAAAAATTATTGGGTGATGTGACTTTGGGGAAGTAGCAATGCATGATTGCATGCAACCCAACGCTAAACGCAGCAAAGGCACCTTCAGAAGCCTTTTTTGCCCTTTCCATGTCAGTCTCCCCAAACGGTAATAGAACAGTACACTCTGCCTCTGCTCATTTCAGATAACAGTTCGCTCAGTCTCTTCCCCAATCATCTATCACCTGTTTCTCATCTCTATCACATTCATATATTTATAATCATATTTAAACTTTCAAAATTATCATAGTAATCAGGCCATATTTAATTTTAAAATTACTTTTATCATTCATAAAATATATTTTTAATATTTTCAAATAATAATTAATTTAAAATAAATTAATATATTTAATTCACATATAATATCAGACAAAGAGTTTATAAGTACATACAACACTTTTTTAATTCATTTTTTATTACATCACATAATTTATTAAATTTTCGTTATTTATTTTTTTTAATTTGTAAAAATCTGTAATTTGATATATTATTAAATTTATAAAAAATCTTGTTAAAAATTAATTTTCTTATTTATTTATTCTGTTTTATTGTTTTTTTAAAATTTTATGAAAACTTATTTAATAAGTGGTGGTTTTAGTGATAAAATTTTAATCTTTTCATTACAATCTAAAGGCTGGTTGGGTGTACATAATCAAATTATAAAATAAAAATATTATAACCTCTTATTATATTTTATGTTTGATATAAATCAGGATAATAAAAAAATTATGTTATGCCATCTTGTTCAATGTCAGAGATAAATACAAAAATAATAGAAGAATAGATAACTTATATTTAATAATAAAATTATTTATTTATTAAAATTGATATAATTTTTATAATAAATAATTTAAAAATTTACTTTTTAATTATATATATATATATATATTAAAAGTTAAAATATTGTATACAAATAATTATAAAATTTAATATTAAATTATAATAATTTTCTTATTTTATATAAATAGAATTTATTAATGCAACAAATTATAAAAAATAAAATTATACTTTATAAAATAATTAAATATTTTTAAATATATTTTTTATACTTTAAACTATAAAAATATTTTTTAAATATTTATGTTGAAAATAATGTTCTTGTAATATTCTTTACAAATTTTTTTCAAATTATACCTTTTAAATATTTTCTTATATCTTTTTAAAATTTGTATGAAGTATAACTAAAAAGATAAAATAAGACAAAAAATTATAGCTTAATTATTTTTAATTCATCAATTCATTAAGAAAAAAATTTGAACTATTAAAATATGATAAATTAATACAACAGAATAAATCATCAAATTCTCTTATTCAACAAACATATTATCATATTCTATTATCTTATTTTAAATATCAAACGAGCATTAAAACTCTAACTCTCTTTTACATAAAAATAATAATGTAGGTTGAATGACACGCAATAAAAATTATATGTAATACATTTTTATTAAAAAATATAAAATATGATAGAATTGATTGTATAAATAATATTAAATATTATAATTCTTAAATTTTATTATTTATTAACTTTTTTATAATGAATCTTTAAACCTACTTTAAGAAAAATATATTAAAATATAAGTTCTAGAGCAACTTTAACTCTTAATGGATTCAATTCGATTGACTTAAATTAAATACACTCTCAATTTTGAATTCCTAGTGTCTAAACTATATAAAAAATTATTTAAGTGTATTATATTTTATTTTTAAAACAAAAAATAATTTTTAAAACAGAATTAAAACTTCAATTCCTTGTTTTCTATTTATAAAATTTGAATTAAAACTCTACTTAAAGGAAACCAAAGGTGTGTTTGATAGGTAATATTGTTTATATTCTGTAAAAATATATTATTTGAAAATCAGATTTTATAGGAATTATGATTTATAAAAATATTATAAATGTGTATATATATATATATATATAGACTCACACGGTGAAGTTCATACCTTTTAATTTGATTTTGCTTTTGAGTTTTGTGTAGGGCCCAGTGGGCCAGGGTGATCAGTGAAAGTTTGTCTGGGAGTGAGTCAGAATATGCGAAATGAGAGAGAGAGATATGGTATAGCTGTTTCATGCTGCTTACACACATCCTATGTCGTTTTCTCACGAAGGATTGGGTCCACAGAGCCGTAGGCCTCTCTCTCTCTCTCTCTCTCATTAATTTTTCATATTGTAAAATTTCATTAATTGCTTAAAAGCATTGAGCAAAATCTGGAAATAAAGTTTGAAGGAGAAAAAAAAGGCAGAGAATAATAAATTAAGAGGAGAAAGAAAAAAAAGTAAAGAAAAAGAAACAAGTAAAATGGTGTGTGCTTATGTGTTGGTGTATCTGCATGACACCAAATCAGTGAAGAGACTCACAAAACCTCTGCCTCAAAATTTCTCATTTAAAACTAGCCAACTTGGGAGCAAATTCATATCAAGTGGCCATGGGGGCTGGATTTTCCTTTTTTCCTCTCCAACTCACATCTCTCTGCTTCAACTTTTTCTCTGAAAATTTTTTCCCTTTAGGTTCTCTTCTCTTTTAATCTGCAAGGTCAAAAGGAATTCATTTTTTTAGCTTTTGTTGTTTTGAGATTTGAGATGAGAATTGAAGGACTCAAACTGCATGTGGGTTTTCCAGAATTCTGATTGTGGTCTAACAAAAAATCACTCACTCCAAGTTGATGCAGAAGATATAGACACACACCTGGAGAAGAAAGTTTATTATATATAAAGGCTTTGCTATAAGACATGGCAGCACCTTTTTCTGCAGCATCGCTCTTTGGAATCAGAGAAGAGGATCAGAATCAGATGAAGCAACAACAACATTCCTCAACCCCGCCATCATCTTCAACAACTCCAGCTGCACCCCCTCAGAAGAAAAGGAGAAACCAACCTGGAACACCAAGCAAGTATCTTGAAAATTTTATCTAAAAAAGCGAAAAGAAAATCTAATTAATCTCTGAACCATTTCCCATTAATGAAATCGATTTTTTATTTTTAATTATTTTTGGTTAATTTCATGCAAACATTTCACGGGGCCAACCATTTTTATTATAACTATTTTCCACTTATGCAATTCCATATCTGGGGTGGGGAATAACCCTAACTTTTGAAACATTAATGAGAAATGGGCTGAAATTATATGGGTATCTTATAGAAATCTTTGTCTTCAAGCTTTCTAATTTTTAATGATTTTTTTAATCTTGTGAACTTTGCAACAATTTATTTAGTTGTTTGGCATTATTTTATTTATTGAAATTAATTGGAAGGGATGGAAACACGAAACATGTATGCAGATCCAGATGCGGAGGTGATAGCACTATCTCCAAAGACACTAATGGCAACAAACAGGTTTATATGTGAGGTGTGCAACAAAGGGTTTCAAAGGGAGCAAAACCTACAGCTACACAGAAGAGGACACAACCTGCCTTGGAAGCTAAAGCAGAAGACTACAAAAGAGCCAAAGAGAAAGGTTTATCTGTGTCCGGAGCCCACATGTGTTCACCATGACCCTTCAAGGGCTCTTGGAGACCTCACTGGCATTAAGAAGCACTATTCTCGCAAGCATGGTGAGAAGAAGTGGAAGTGTGACAAGTGCTCCAAGAAATATGCTGTTCAATCAGATTGGAAAGCACATTCCAAAACCTGTGGCACCAGAGAGTACAGATGTGACTGTGGCACCCTCTTCTCGAGGTAATTAATAATTAACAGTTCATGTGCCAAATTGACCAAATAGTTCCATTTTTTTTAAAAATGCATTTTTCTTAGCAGTTTATTGATGAAATTGTAGTTGATAAAGGTTAACACATTTAACAGAGAAAAGGGTATTGGGCATATTAGCAGGAAGTAGTGTTTGGTTTGATTTAGGTTGGTTTGGTTTGGTTTGGAGTTAGGGCTTATTATTAGATTCTTCAGGTGGCTATAGGAAGGAAAGGGGCTTAGATGCTTTCTTTTTCTATTGAGTTTGGTTTCCTTCCAATTGATTCAGATTCTGTCCTCTCTTTCACTCTCTCGGATGGTTTCCTTTGTCATCTTTCTCTTATATTTGGTACGGTGGCCAAGTGAAGTGGAAGGAAACATCCCCCACGTGAATAATCTCTGAAAATCAGAAAAAACACACGGAGGAACAGTTTACAAATTACAACATCCTCTTCTCTCTCTCACTCACAAAATAAAAACCCCAATTCTCTCATTTGATGATCACCTCATAAAACACCATATTTTAACTAATATTTTTGTATTTTTTTTTCTCATTTGAAAATATTATTCTTGTCTATGTGTGTTTTGCACTAGAACGTGCATAAGATCAATTTTTAAGTTCAAACAAACATGCCCCTAGTTTATTTTATTTTTTTCCCCTTCACGTGGTGTTATGGTGTGTGTAGAAGAGAGGGCCTAGTGTAGTGTGGCATTGTTACTGGGTTTGTTCTCTTGTGAGTTGGCTATATGTGCTCAGTACTGTGCTCTTGCAGGTGCTCCTTTTCATGATAACGTCAGGCCCTAACAAACTCCCTATATTTCGTGTTTCCAAATTTTTCTTTGACACTATTTGAAGGAGGTGCTTAAGGTCATGCTGCGTTTAGAACTGCAGTGAATCCGAGTACACCATATTACATACAGACACATAATTTCTTTTCACAATTTTGGTGGCATTGGAATTATATATATAAACATAAACTTATAATAGTTGGAATAAACTCATCATTCTTGTACGGCCTATAAATTTTACTGATTAAATTATTAAAATATTATCATATATATATATATATATATATATTTTAAAAATATTTATTATTTTAATTTTTAGATACATAAATGTAGGATTAAATACCTTTAAATTAATATAAATTTTAGGAATATAATTTATATTATGTGAATTTTTAAATTAATAGTCAACTTTAAGATAAAATTAGCAAATAAAAATTATTAAAAAAATACGAGTAAACTTATTTATACTGATGCAAATTTATCTCTTCTTTTCTAAAAGAATTTGAAACTCCAACTTTCATTTACAAACAACTTATAATAGTATTGACACAAATATCTTCTTTTTTTTCTACATCTCTTTTCTTTTATCAAATTTTATTACTTATCATATTTATTTTCAATTTATCTTTCTCAAAGTTTAGACATCTATTAACTTCCTTGAACCCACTTGAACACATTAGCACCCAGTACTTGAGATATATGATGACATTTCCTATTTAACCGATGGGGAGGGGTTAATTTAGTTTCATTTGTGGAACATCAATTTCTTGAAATGGAGCTTGTTAATTAATTGATTGACTGACCAGTCTTTTTGTCAAGTTTTAGTTAAGTTATTAACCTATATCATACTTTATCTTAGTTGTCTTTTTCGGAATTTTCAGTTATCTTCTTAATTGCTTGAAGTGTCATTCACATTGTTCTTTTATTTAACTACTCATTTCATAAGTACACGCAAATATTTGTCCTCGGGCTCATTATGAATTTTATTGTCCTTTAAGTTCAGATTTTCCTTTATGTGATTTGGTTGTCTTTTACTTGGAATGTCAAGTCCTCCTTCTAGCCATCTATATATATTTCAGGGATCTGTGACACTTCACTATTTTGGTATAGCCATTTTTTTCTTCAGGAGAGTAGTTTGTTTATGGTTTCATGTGACTTATTTATTTAGTTAGGTTTAATAGTAAAATACCTTTTAAAAAATTTTCAATCTTTTGATCTAGACTTATATAACTTATGACAAAAGTGTGGGCCTATAATGTTCTTATACATAATTTTCACCCCAATTCCTATATATTCCCATTTATTATACAAAGGAAAACAGAGAAACTTAAGTTTAAGTTTTTCTCTCCTCAATTTTACCATAAATGAGAATGTAAGAATAATTATTAAAAAAATGAGTGTAAAAGACAAACATTATTCAAACTCAATTGCAATAATTTGTTACAAAAATGCCAGCAACATATATGCATGGACAATGAACTAAATAATAATATTATAATACAAAAACTCATCAATTTCTGTTTCTCTCAATAGTCATTTTTTAAATTAGAAAATTCATATGCAGTTTTTTAACCATTTCTTGGCATTTTTTTAATCAAATTTTATCTATAATTTATGAGTATAAATTTTTAAATAGAAGTATTTTGTGGAGTCTTTTTTTTTTCAAAATAAAAGTACCTCTAGGAGTTTGTTCTTTATCTCACTAAGTCAATTGTTTTTTTAATTAAATATTTATTTTAATTCATTATTATATTTATTTTTATTTTTTTATAAATTTTTAATTTAAAATTCATCTCTTTATTTAATTTATTTAGTATATTAAATATTTAATATTAATAATTGTAATAATTAATTTTTAAAAATTTATAATTTAAGCTTTTCATACTACATGTTTTAAATTATTTAATTAAATTTTTTTTATTTAATAATACTTGTGTAAAGCACATAAAATGTACGGATAATTTACTAGTTAACCTTATTGAATTAAATATTTATTTTTTATAAATAAGATTAAAAATAATATTTAAGAAGATACATTATATATAAATAATTAATATCTTAAATATATATGCATGACATTGGTTTGAATCTACTTAAAATTAAGTTTCTTTTAAATCTCATTTTTTTTATTAAAATAAAACCAGTTTATTAATTTAAAATTTTATAATTAAGTTTAGAAATTTAAAAATAATAAAATATATATATATGAAAGACACAAATTATAATAAATAATTTTTTAATAAAAAATATTATTTATAAATACTTAAACTTATCTCTACGAAATTAAGATAATAAAATCAAAATATAAATATTAAAAATATAAAAGAGTAATTAAACAAACTAATAAGTTACAAATCACAACACAAGGCAGTGAACTGGTCACTCTTCTTTCACCCACTCTAATTTGCTTTTCCTTTCAAAATACTCTATTTTAACATGGTTGATTTACCTTAGATATCTTAAACCATTGTTTGGAATGTGACTGCAGGCGAGACAGTTTCATCACCCACAGGGCCTTCTGTGATGCACTGGCACAAGAAAGTGCAAGACAACCACCCAACCTGAGCAGTGCTATTGGCAACCAAATCTATGGAAACAGCAACATATCCTTAGGCTTATCTCAAATGGGTCCACAGATCCCCTCCATTCATGACCAAAACACCCAATCTAGTGACCTATTGCGTTTTGGTGCTGCAAGGACTGGTCAATTTGACCACATTCTCCCACCAACCCTTGCCTCCTCCTTTAGACCCTCACACCACCACACCATGCAAACCCCTTCATTCTTCATGCCAGAACCAAACCAAAACCAAAATTACCAGCATGATCATCACCAGCCTCAACAAGGGTTAGTGTCAAACAAGTCATTCCAAGGATTAATACAACTCTCTGACCTTAACAATAACATCAACAATTCCCCTTCTGGATCCAACCTCTTCAACCATCCCTTTCTATCCAACCGAGCCAGTAATAACAACAACATTGTTGAAGATCAACACTTCAACAATGAAGGGTCAAATTTCTTCCCAGAAAGTACCATATTGGGCATCACTGATCACCAAACAAGCTCAACAACCGTCCCTTCTCTCTTCAGCACCTCTCTTCAAAACAGCACCAACAACAACGTTTCTCACATGTCAGCAACCGCATTGCTCCAAAAAGCTGCTCAAATGGGTGCTGCAAGTTCCAGCAGCAGCAACAACAACAACCCTGCCTCTTCCCTCCTCAGAAACTTAGGGTCCAAATCTGATCACAGGCCACTTTCTACTTCTGCAAACTATAGCAGCATTTTCAACAACCTGCAAGACATGATGAACATTCCCGGGTTTGAAGTAGCATATGATCATGGGATGAACACCAGAGAACCAAAACTTCAAGGAGTGGGTGTTAACGTTGGAGGTTCTGATAGGCTCACGAGGGACTTTCTTGGCGTCGGTGGTCAGAATCAGATGGTGAGAAGTATGAGTGGTGGAAGTGGAGGAGCTTCACAACAACGTGGTTTCAACTTAAGCTGCTCGGAAGCTGAGACAAATAATGCTGCGCCGTCAGGTCAAGCTTTCGGTGGTGGAGCGAACTTTCAGTGAAGTACAAAAGGTACGTCAAAGAATTCGATCCCTTACATTGGTCATTGTGATTGTTTTTGTTATTATCTGTATGATTACTGCATGATTACATTGATCAGTGTGCGCGTGTACATATGGAACACTTTTTTTTTACTGTTTATTGGTCAATGAGTTTTTAAAAAATTACTGTTTTCTTTTCTTTTTTAAATAATGATACGCAAATAATAAAGTTTTATAGTTTTTATTATGTTACTTATTTTATTTATTATTTTAATTATAAAAGTTTTCATAAAGGCATATTACTACAGAACACAAAGCTTTAGTTTCACCCTAAACATATAACTTTAGTGTCATAACTTTTGTGTTTTTCGAAGTAACAGAAATGTTAGTAATGGTCATTTTTATAATAACAATACCACAGATGTACTATTTTTTAGAAAAAGAGAAAATACATGAAATTATTGAATTTTGTTAAACGTGTTTTTTTTCTCATGCATTTAATGGTGCAAGTAGGGGAGAGAATTCTAATACTCACTTTACATTATTTTATTATTTTCTCTTTCTTTTCATCCTATTCCTTTCCCTAATTAAAGGATGTATATATATACTTTTTGAATGTATCAAATAATAACTTAATTTATTTCAAAAAGTAAGATTATCTTTCAGCTTTTCAATATTTCTCGAGAAAAAGGGGTGTGTTCTGATCCTGACATGTTGTCTTGCATGGGGTGGACAGCGATGTGGTGCAGAACTTTGTTTCTTCTGTTGTCTTCTCTATTCATTTGCTTTCTTTTTTTGATATATTTTAGTGTATATGGGTTGGCAGAGTCATGAATGTCCTTCAACCTAATTGGAGGGGCGATGCCAAACATATCCATGCTCCTATCAACTTTGTTGCTATTATTATTCGGTCTCTTTCTTATCTGTCATTTTCTTTCTTTTAAGTCACAATTAGCTTAGCCATAACGCCATCTATGAAAATAAATAAATAATAATAATAATAATTAGTTAATAAATTTTATGTTGTTATAAAGTTTTTATTTATTCCAAACCCACATGTTAATTTCATTATATACTATTTTGAGTTTAGTTAATTTTATATAAAGTTTTGTTGGAAATAGACGTATATTACCTTTAATTATATTACTGAATTAGTATCACTATAATATATTGAGAAAATCAATAAATAGTAAAATATAATTTTAATTATGTGTTTGTGGGTATTATATATAAACTAAATATTGTGGTAGCCATTTATTTCTTTAAGCTAGTACTTTATAAATGGTTTTAAATTTTAAAATCCCAAGAAATAGTAACTCAATAACAAAAAGTTTTACCTAAATAATTTATTGGCTTATGCAGCCACAGTTAAAACAAAATTTACTTATCTTATAATATTTTGTTAAATAATATGTCTAATGATATTTTTGCGCCGTGAATTTGGAAAATTCTTTGTGCTAGAAAATTATTGGAAATTTTACATATAAAATATTCTAAGTTTTAAAAAAAGTGTTAGCTACATCCTCTTCAATACATTTTTTTATGTCATTAATTTTTTAAAAGTCAAAATAAATTTTTAAAAATATCATCTTTTAAGATAAATATTTTGATATTTTAAAACATTAACTAATCAAAAACATATTAAAAGTGTATTAAAAAAATATTATTTGTATTTTTTTAATTTAAAATATTGTGAGAAATTACAATTATTAGTTTTATTATAATTTATTTAGATTTTCATAAGGTGGTCCCATGGGATGGGAAACAGAAAGAAAAGGAATCACTGACGTTTTAGGAATTTGAATTACTATGTCTTTCAGCTTTATTGACTATTTGACTTATGCTTGCACGTTATTTTACATATATGTTAAGTTTGAACTTTCATGATCGCATCTTAAGTACAAATTGCACTAAGTTGAAATAGTATGCTGCAACTTTTTGTTTCTGAGAGTGAGACATGGGTAAGAAATACAAATTTGAGAAGCTTTTCTTGTCTTTTTCTCTGAACCTGTGGAGAGTAAACACACACCAAAAAAGTGTCATTTATCAATAACTTTTGTTAGTATAATTTTGTTTAATAAAATGTAATTATTAGTTAGCAATTAATCTGTTAATTATAATTATTCGAGTTTGGGTTTTTGCAGGGATGTCAACTTGTTCCATTGATGGCTAATTAGTCCATCTATTTTGGTTTACCGGAGCAACATTGTGAAAGCATATTGGAGTTTCTGTATAGACATAGCTATAGCCTCAAGTTTTTCAAACAAGTGAAAATTGTGGAAGCATATGAAAATTGACTACCATGCATCAACATACTGTTAAAACATAAGCTAATTGTTATTAGGATTTCAAACAAAATTTTCATGGTTTTAACTTATTACATTTTGTTATTAGACAATGCTTTAATATGTATATGGGAGTACCGGTCATTGCGCCATATACATAAATATTACCATCATTTGCTCTTTTACTTAGTCATATAAAAAACTCTCGCCTTTTTGTATGTAACTTCTTTTTCCATGACCAATACTTAGAAAGGAGTCATTTAACTCAACTTTATTAAAAATAAAAGGGTTAAACTTAAAGATGATAATCATCCCACGTGAAACTTATATTTTTTATGTAAAGTTATCAAGAAATAAAGACAAAAAAATAGAATAAAAGTGCACTTAAATTTATGAAAGATAATTTATAGTAAAAGCTCTTTTTTTTTTGGCTTTCAAGTTATTTTGCACAATTGTTTTACTCTTTTTCTAATGATGAAATATTATAAAAGAAAATTATATATTTGATTTGGGGACCATAACCGTTTATGTATAACACTCAAATACGTTTTCATAAATAGTTATGCCTTTTAAACCTTATACAGATTTTCTTTTCTAAAAGTTATAATTATCAAACTTATTTTTAATTTGACCCATTATAAAAAAAATATTTATTGTATCTTTTACATGATAAAGTCCAGTGAGATATTATACATTCCAATAAGTTTATCTTTGTAATACCACCTTAATAGGCAGGTCTAGCCCAAGCATGAGGTCACTAAAGCCTACACTTAACGCCTCTGATGTTTATAAATAACAACGTCTTTATAAATAATATTACTTAGTTATTTATTTTATTTGAAAAATTATTAATTAACATATATATAATATTCAGGCTAAATATTTTTTATCCACAACAAAGAAGTTGATTATCGTATTGTGACATTTTTTTCCTGATTAATAATAACTTTGTGTATCTTATTATTTAAGTTTTACTCTCACCGACATATAGATTGTCATGAATATTGATTATATATTGCATATACTTATAATTAACAAAATATTATTTTACGATGAATAAAATTTTATATTAATTCAGATTGTTAAAAAGATTTTTTAAAACCAATAATTCATATTATTTTAGGATAAATACAATTTAAATAAAAATTGATTAAATATTAGTTAAATTTATAAATTAGTTTTTTAACTCTTAATTTTGTTTCACTTGGATCTTCTAATTCTTTTTTTATCGTATAGGTCCCGTCTCTTACAAATCTATATTAAGTTAGGACTCTCCGTTAAACTTGATCAATGACATTACTAATTTTATATTAAGTGTTACTAACTTTGTTAAAATGAAATAAGATGTGAATTATTCTTCTTTTTTAAGTGACGTTTCGTATACCATATATAAATACAAAGGAAACACATTGAAGAAGAAATAAAAAACATAAAATTTATCATCGTACATTGGCAAAATATTAAAGTGAATCTTGTGAAGGTTTTGAAAAACATTCATTTAGAAGAAAATTTTTATTGAAGGCATATGAATTTTTTAGTATATTTTGTGTTTGTTGGTTTTGGGAGATATTTTGTTGTTATATTACAATGTTAGGTGTTCAAAGAAGAAGTGTTAGAAAGGGATTGTAGTTTTAAATTGTTGAATTGTATTTTTATTCTGAAATTTTCTATTTGTATGTGTTGCAATTGAAGTTGCAGTGTAAAAATATGACAAATTGTAAATGGAATTGAGAGATACATAGATTAAAATAGTTGTAACAATGATTTTTAAATAATCTTTTTAAACTTAAAAAAAAAGTGATTTGTTTAACCAAATTTGAGTTCATAAATCTAATCACACACATGAAAGGTATTTACATGTCACAACATTTATAAAACGATTACATTAAATTTTTCAAAAATCAAAGTCTTATCGTACCCCTAAATTTTCATATTTTATTTATTAAAAAGAAGAAAAAAAAGGGAGATAAGTTTTAAAATAATTGAGTCTGCTTACGTATTAATCCTTTTGTGTAATGAGAAATAAAAGTTATGTAGTTTCATGTAGTTGTAAATAGAATTTTTTTTTTCAAAAGATATAAATTTTTTTAGTATAAATAATAATATCTTTATAAATAATATTATTTATTCATTTTATTTAAAAAGTTATTAATTAACATATATATAATATTCAGGCTAAATATTTCTATATCTATACCAAAGAAAGTTGATTATCTTACTGTGACATTTTTTTTTCCTGATTAATAACTACTTTGTGTATCTTATTATTTAAGTTTTACTTTTTTATTAGTCTAAGCAAAGTCACCAACGTATAGATTGTCTGATTATATACTACATATAATTATAATTAACAGAATATTATTTTACGATGAATAAAATTTTATATTAATTCATATTGTTAAATAGATTTTTTAAAATAATAATTCATATTATTTTAGAATGAATAAATTTTAAATAAAAATTGTTTAAATATTAGTTAAAATTATAAATTAGTCCCTTAATTCTTAGTTTTGTTTCACTTTAATCTTTTAATTTTTGTTTTTTTAATCATATAGGTCCTATATCTTGCAAATTTATTTTAAGTTAGGACTCTTTGTTAAACTTGAATAACGGTGTTACTAATTTTACACCAACTATTACTAATTTTATTGAAATGAAATCAGATATTGAATAAGATAATATTATTATTCTTTTTTAAGTGACGTTTCTTGTACCACATATAAGTACAAAGGAAGCGTATATTAAAGGAAAAATAAAAAGCGTAAAATTCATCACCCAAAATATTGCATTGAATCTTGTGAAGGTTTTGAAAATATTCATCTAGAAGAAAAGTCTTGTTGAAGGCGTATGAAATTATTAAGCTTATTTTATATTTTGTTGGTTTTAAGGAGTATTATTGTCAAAAGCGAGAGAAACCTCATTCCTCTCTCTCTCTTTTCACCTCATGTCGCCCCAAGATAGCAGTGAAGAAGAATGACAAATAAAAAATAGAATGGAGAAAAATAGATTGAAATATTATAATCAAGATTTTTTAAAAAATTATGTAAAACTTAAAAAAAATAGTTTGCTTGACCAAATTCAAGTTAAATGTCTAATTATGCATCTATAAGGTATTAACATCTCACAACATCCATAAAACAGTTACTTGTGTGTTTCTTAGTTGACTGTAAGTGTGTTAGTGGGAGTATCTGTCCATTTGTGAGTGTGATAAAAAGAAGTGTCAAGGAAAAGCATGTTGGGGAGAGAAAGAAAAAATATATAATTTGTTAAAAAAATGATTAAATAAAAATTTGTTATAGCAAATAAAAATGTTATATATGGATTATATTTAATTTTTTATTATTGAATTATTAGAGAACTTCTCTTTTTCTTTCTTAAACTTTTTATGAAATTTTTTTTTGTTTCTATTACTTTTTAAGTGTATTTTATTTTAGCTTGAAAAGATTATTGTTTATTTTAATTGTATTTTTTTATTTTTACATTATTGTAAAATATTAGGTATATTTTTATAGATCTTGTTTACAATATAGTGTGTGTGAAATATTTGTTTGTATTTAAATTAATTAGATTGATTATTTTAAGGTTAATTTTAGATAAATAAAAATAATAAGTATATAAGAATGAGTTTTCAGGATTTATTCATCTTTACTCATTTTCATTTTAAATAATATGAAGGGTTGCTATCATTATACAGTAACAATAAGAAAATAAGTAAAGAAGGAAAGTAATTTTGTTAAGGTAAAAGAATATTATTTTACTAGGAAAAAAAAAAAATACATGACACAACTTCCTTTATAAGGGATAAGAGTGTAAAAAGTACCTTCTTCTCTGAGCTATACCTATGTATGAAGGATGCCTTTCTTTATAGGTGATAAAATGTAATAGAAACGTGCCTTCTTTAGTGGGTGATAAAAGTAAAAAAAAAATGCCAATTTTTTTGTAGGTAATAAAAAATGTAAAAGAAAAATTAGAGTGCCTCCTTTATAGATGGTAAAAATGTAAAATAAAAAAAGTCTCTATAAATGATAAAAGAATAAAAAAAAGAAGAAATATTTCTCTCTCTATAGAAGCAGTAGAAGAAAATAAAAATAGTTTTTTATAGGCAATAAAAGTGAAAAGAAAAATAAAAGTATCTTCTCTTTTTTGTAGTAATTGAGAAGAAAAATAATAGTTTTTCCTTTTTTAGGTTGTAAATAAAAAGAAAAATGAAAATACTCTCATTTTAGACAATAATTGAAAAGAAATATAAGAGTGTTGTCTTCTTTAGACAAAAAAATGAAATGAAAATAAAAGTGCCTCCTACTTAGTAGTAAATAAAAAAAAAAGATTTAATTATATTTTTAGTCTCTATAAATATAGAGTATTTTGTAATAAATTCTAAAAAAAATTATTAATATCAATTTTTTTCCGTTAAATATTAAACTAGCGTAAACTAGCATAGAACTAACACAACATGTGTCGCATTATTTAATATAATATTATATTATTTAAAATAAATATTTATAAATAAATTTTTAAACACATTTTAATATTTATAAAAAAGTCCTTTCTTCCTTCCACTTAGAAATATGCATTCCAACACTTAATCTTTCCTCCAAACGAGGATTAAGGAATGGTTCAAAGACATTGTGTTGCAAAAATCAGTTCTCATGCCATAACCACAGTACCTTGGTAGAGTAGGGAGGAAGCTTTTAGCACATGTCATAACACTAGGCAAGTCATCATCTGAGGACTCTGAAGTTCCATTCCCATTAGATGAAGTATTAACTGCAAGTCCACCAGGTGGCAACGTAGGTGCACCAGTGACAAATGACAGAAGGCGCTGCTGCTCTGGTGTGAACTCTCCCATAATTTCAAGTAACTGAAAAATGAACCCAGCAGGACTCGCATTATATATAACTAGGAAAAGGATCATACATTAATAATGGCAGGGCTCTTTGCAGTATACCCATGGTCAAATTTTATATGATCAGCAAGTGTCTCGGCCTGCAGAAATATTTTTAACCTGAGATATGTGCTCTTCCAAATTGTTGATATCAACCTGGAAAATTGAGAGGGAGTTAAGGGAGATAATATTGCAAGTACCAAGATCTATAGACTTTCTCAGGATTTAATAGCAAACAACTTCATCTCTGGCTTTCAAGATGTATTCAGATAACCAGGAAGTGTAAAATCCAAGCACAAATCTTCAATCGGGGAATCATGAAAATGTAGTT